TGCATGTTAGCAGAGGCTTGCATGGGTTTTGAAGAAAGGACCATAGTGGATGTATCTAAGTGCATAGTGCAAATAGCATGTCTTTAAGGTGCCAAAATAATTTAGGTAAAGCGAATCTAGTGTCCTCTTTAATTTCTAATTAACATAGAAAAGACACTAGATGGTGCTGTAAACTAAGCAGTGTGTTAGTGTAAGAGGCGAGGTGGATTCTCTCTGCTAACGTAGCCTCTCTCCTCCTTGCCTTTTCCTGGTCAGCACACCTCACTTGGTTTATGGAAGACATTCGCTCGTAATGGCTTAGGAGCCAAATGCGGATTTGTTTCACTGAATTTACATCTATTTTAGAACTAACCTAGCCTCAGTTTGCTCATGCCAGTGAAACTAGATGAGACATGAATTTGAGATGAGATGAGCTACTCAGATATTTGGAGCAAAGTCTGTGCCCAGTTGTGGATTGGTTATTTAAGGAAGGAAAATAACTATTAATAACTTGATTGACAGCCATGTTGTTTGACCTATATTTGTGCAGTAAATACATTCTTATAAATCTTTGTGAAGTGAAATTCTCTTTATAAAATCATTTCTCTTCCCCTTCTAGTATTTCTTCCAGAGGGCAGCCTCACAGAAAGTATTTTGGTATCAGGTTAGCACCGAATGGACACTTAATCTGAATGTTCGTTTCCAGAAGCATCTGTTTGTCTGATTCTCTTACTTGTGTGACCAGGCAGAATGCCTTTCACAAATGGGTGATTATTGATCCACTTGGATTCATGGGACTAGAAAAGAATTTAGCAGTTGACCACACACATAGAGCAGGCATGCAGAGCCCTCCCCCAGATGTGCTAGCCGACAGAAAGTAAGCCAGATAGAAAGCTTGCAGTAACTGAATGTAATTTCAGTAATATCTTAATGTAGTACTTTTTTTTTTTTAATGTGGTTTTGAATATGAAGAAGTATCTATTTTAGAATCAGCCCTTTAAAACCCATGCCTGGAAGATTTGGTTTTCGGTCCACGTTAGAACTGAACAAAGTTTAAATAGAGTAAGATAACTATAAGTGATTTTATTATCTAGCCAGATAAAATGCTATTGACCCGACAGTTTAAATTTTAAAGTTGGGCATTTTAGAGTAGGGCATTTTAGATTCTTTAGAAAGTTTTATTTTTGCTCTAATGGCTTTGGGAAGAGTATGATGGTGTAAAACATCCAGATATAGTGGCTGAATTCAGTTCATGAAAATTATAACCTACCAAATTGAATGTTACCAACTTGTTTTGTTTAAACTTTGTCTAAAGTATTCACAGCTAAATGTATTAAAGTGGAAACTATTTGTGTAAATAATCTACCCAGAGAAGAGTAAAAGCATTTTGAGGACACGCATTGCATTTATATTTTGGCATCCAGTTTACCTTATATTTACTTTGAATAACGTCACAATTACTTTGCATTTGACCTGACTGCAGAGGAGTAACCTAGGGACAACCTGTGACCCTGAGAAGTCGCAGGAGGAAAAGGACAGGGGACAGGAGCCAGGGGCTGCCTGCATGGGTGGGCACTCCAGAGGCTGTCAGAAATGCTTAGGGAAAAATAACTGCAGAGGAAAATCCACCAGAGGGAATCAAGACATGGTGTTTTCCCAGAAGTCTGTCCGAGAGCGAGAACAGTTATCACGGTTTGCTTTATAAAGGAGGGTGAAAGCCCGGGGGCAGGGGCCTTTGTGTTCTCCCAGGGATTCTCCTGTCTTAAACACACAAGACCTGCTGCCCCGTGAAGCCCAGGGCTCCCCGCCAGCCCTGCCTTACTGAAGACTGACACTACAGCCACGGGGACTTTGTGCTTCACCCCACCCGGTATTGATTCTTTAATGGCCCTTTAAGATAGAAATATTGGGGGCCGGCCCGGTGGCGCACTGCTACAGTGCGCCGCTTGGGAGCATGGGGGCGCTCCTGCCGAGGGTTCGGATCCCACGTACAGACCGGCTACTCACTGGCTGAGCGAGGTGCGGGTGCAACACCGAGGGTT